GAGACGTAGGAGCGTGGTGTTGCAATTCTGAAGGGATAGAAGGGGTGTCAAACGTCGTAGGAGTGTTCAAGGATTCCATCAGCGTAGAGAGATTGTTCGAAGACATCTGTTGATAGTCCAAAAATCTCGGAGACATGGCTTGACCGTTCGAAGATTTCGGAGACGTAGGGGCATGATCTGGCCATTTCGGAGAGATAGGAGGAGTGTCCAATGTCGTAGGAGCACTCAAAGATTCCGTCGACGTGGGGAGATCACCGTTCAAAGGCTTCAAAGACATAGGTCGATAGTCCAACATTTCGGAGGTGCAGGTTGGTCATCTGACAATCTCGGAGACGTAGGTCGACTGTCCGAAGATTTCGAAGATGTAGGTCGTATGTCTGAAGACTTCGAAGACGTAGGAGTCTCTTCTAACGTAAGGCTGCCCTCCGGAAGGTCCCCTAACACGGTGACAGCTGGGGAAGTGTCTTCGATCATAAGGCTGTAGTTCGAAAGTGGTTCCATAGCTGCAGTGTTTGTAGACGCCTGGTTCGTCTTGCGCTCCGCCGTCCGAGGCGTCAGTGCTGCCCAGTATCGGTCGCGAAGGTACGAAGGCAATTTTCGAAGCTCCTCAGATGTCAATGGTACACACGGAGTGTTCGATGAGGACTCGACAGCCAGTTCGGCAAGCTGGGGCGGGGGCTGTGCTATAAAGAAGCTGGCTCGGCTCTGTCGCTTCGTGGGAGATGCTTCGAAATTTCGAGGGCTCGCTTCGAACTTCGTAGGGGTCGCTTCGAAACGTTGGGTGGGAGGAGGTGCGTAGGTCATGTCTCGAACATTTGCAGATGGGAAAGCGGGACTCTCGGTGTCGATGGTAGGTCGGACGACTGGCGCAGGCGCTGGGTACTTGGTCTCGTCTTCGAACATGGCAGGCGGTTTGGGGCTCGCTCCGAAAACTTCGAACACGTCATGGGTAGTAGTGGTTGATCAGCCAGGTGGGTGTTCGAGCGTAGGGGATGCTTCTCGATGACAACTCGGTCGACAACGGTCTGCTTACGCTGTTCCCGAGCATAGATCTCCGTCAACCGTGATAGCTGGGCGTCCATGCAGGCTAGCATCTCTCCAATGTCGAGGGCATGCGTAGGGATAGGCGGACTCTCGACTGCTTCATAGAGCAACTGTGTGGCTGTAGCACCTTGCATAGCACTGCCTGAACCACTCGAAGACGACGAACTGAGTCCTAACTTGTTCGAACGACGTGCATGTTCGTAGATAGCGTCTCGGAGGGTCTCGCTGTCTCGGCGACTCATGAAGCGGTTGTCGAACGAGACGATCTTGCCATCGGGGTTCCGTCGACACAGGCCCTTCTTCCTGTCTTCTTCGAACATCTCGCAGTCTCCGATCCAACATCCCGAACGTCCGCAATAGAAGCACCGAGGGCGTCATGACTGTTCGAGAATTTGGGTGACCGGCTGTGAGACTGCTGGGCCTCGAGGGTCTTGATCAGCGTCTGTAGCAATGGTAGGAGGTCTTCGGACTTCGTGGTCACAGGTGGGGATGGCAGGATAGATGCAGCGGGTGTGGTCGTAGGCATAGGGGGACTAGCTTGCCGAAAGGTCGAAGCTGGTGTAGGACCATCTAACACCCACTGTGCTGACTCGTAGATCTCTGTGAACGTCCAGGGCTTCCTTCGAGAGCGGTCAGGGTTCCGCATGAACAGGCGCTGCTCGATGGGACCCCAGAGCGTATTCGGAAAGCCTTGCTGGAACTTCCGATCTTGTTCGAGTGTCGAAAGCGAACCTCGAGTGATCAGGTACTCCGAAATCATGTAGAAGTCGCGGTAGTAGGCAGCGAGGTGGAGGGCATTGGTCATCCCGAGTTCTATGCGATCATGGACGACCGTGTCGAGATCAGTGAGCGAGTACTTGTGCTCGTCATCAGCTCCAGGATAGAGTGCTCGTAGGGCGGTCACGAACTCCTCGTAGGGCTTCGTAGCATCCTTGAATGTTGGCTGCATCATCCATAGGTCGGAGACGCGGATAGGAGGGTAGCGAACTGCCCATGACTTCTTGTCGGAGTCATCGGTAACTCGGCATCGTGCGAAGTGTGTTTCAAGGTCTTGGAAAAAGCGGTTGAATGAGAAAGGTTCTGACTCGTCGAAGACAGGTGCAGTGGAGTGTCCGCGTGCAGGCATTGAAGCCGCCTTCGAGGCTGGTGCTCCTGTGTCGGCCATATTTGGACTCAGCTTCGAAGTGTTAGAAGGAGTTGGCGAAGCGATAGAAGGGATTGTTGAAATGTTCGAAGGTATTGTCGAAGTGTTCGAAGGGTTAGGGGTGTCGACGGTCGAAGTCCGTCGCAGCGCGGACTGCTCTGGTCCTGGAGGGACTGACGACACTCTACGACTGGTGGGTATGGGTAGACGTGAGGTGGAAGATCCTCTACGCGTGGTGACTGTGGCTGAGGTGGGTTCCTCTCCTTCGAGAGGTGGTGATGGTGTTAGAAGCGGTAGAGGGGATCCGAAGACTAGTGCCTCTAAGTCGTCTGCAAGCAAGAGTCTTCGAGCACGTCTGGAATGGGATGGGTAGTAGGTACTTGGTCTCGAACGGAGCGTTCCTGATCGTCGTGATCGGGGACAAGCTCGACGTTTTCGGACGAAGAGGGGATAGTCGAAGGTCCTGGTAGAGGGTTGCTATGCCTGCGAAAGGCGGCGGCGGATCCGGGACCTAGACGACTGTCGATAGCGAGTGCGAGAAGAGGACTTTCGTAGTCTCGGTAGTCTTCAGGGTTGACGTCGAAGTTCCGACGCGGCGGAATCTTGCTCTATATCCCCCTCGCGGTGGGCTCCAAGATGACGCGACCGAAAAGAACACAAAAGCCACACAAAAACCCAACCGTGAGGTCGAGCAGTGGTATGCGAGGCCTCTGCGTCTATGAGATGTACGGGGGACTGTACAGTGGTCTAGGTAAGAAGGAGGAGGACGGACAAGACTCCGAACGACGTGGGAGAACTTCGAAGATGTCGAAGACTGTTCGAAGACGAGGGCTAAGCCTCGAAGGTAGGAGAGAGGGTTTCGACAGACGTGTCGAACGAACGGTGACAAGGAAGGCGAGCGACGGCAGGAGAAGAAGTGTAGAGCCTCTCGGGGCAACTACGAGCTGGCGAACGTACTGACGAACTGACTGACTGACTTCGAACGTACTGACTGACTGGCGAACTTGCTGACTTTCGAACGTACTGACTGGCTGACGAACCTCGCCGGTGCGAGGTGAGATTGAGAGGGTAAGGGGGTCTCTGAGATTTGGAGGGAACCAGTCCCAGAGTATATACAGGGAAACACGGCTATTACCACTACGGAGCTCCGACGGCCCCAAACATCCGGCTATGGCTTCTAACACGTGACAACTGCTCTCGGGCTCGCTAACCAGTGGTCCGAAGGCCGACCGGCTATCACATGACGCCGGAAACCGAGACCACTCGTCGAGGATGTGAGACGACCTGCAAGGACTCACTGGACATCCTGTAGCATCCTATGGTCTCGCATGAGATCTTCTAACACCGTAGCACGTCTTCTAACATGTTCGAGTGTCTTCTAACACATAGTGTATCTTCGAGTGACCTGCGTACTCTGGGGTCGTCTAGATAGGTGGGTAGGTGCTCCTATAGCGTCACTGAGGTGCCGGAAGGTCGCGGATAGTCTTCCAAGGTGAGCCAGGGTTGGCTACGAACTTCGAAATCTTCGAACAGTTGTAGTGGATCTTCTAAGAGCTTTGGAGCATTGTAGAGGCCTAGATTGCGTTTTCGGGGCTTAGATAGCCTAGAGGCGTATCAACGCCCGTGCTAGCGCTCCCGCATGAAAACGGAAGACTCTGCGAAAGACTCAGGCCTGCTGGGCTATAATGACGATGAGATAGCCCCCAGATATACGGCCTAATACAGGCCAATAAGCTGGAGACCTCACCGGAGCCGTACATCTGCATCTCCCATCGAAAAACAGCGCACACAAGAAGAACGGTGGCGCACATGTACTAAACCAAGCAATGAGAGGACAAACTGTACCGGTGAGTACGGCAATCCTCGAACATCGCAGAACAAAGCCTCACTACCACCCCTGCCCTCATCCCGTACGGAGACGCCATGCCGCGCACGCCAGGAACGAAGAGAGCCCAAACACACGTACAAGCGCACAATTTAGAGAAAGATCCAGCCAGAGCAGCACGGTAACAAAGGAAAGCACCAGCCTAACTCGTATAAGCAGAACAGCCACAACACCCTTAGCCTGACAGGCGCGAGAATAGAGCCACAGACATGCACTCCCCAATCATTACAGCATCCTGACAGCTGCGAGAGCGGCGTGCGCCATGAGCTGACCATGAGGATAAAAGGGACCCTGGGGCTACGCTCACAGCCATCCCCGAACTCCTGATATCTAACAGCTCCTGCGCTCCATCTACCAACATGCACCAAGAATCTACGCTTACCTCCCCTGCTTCCCCTACCAACCATGGGCCGACTGTCTCCCCCCACGGTGGCGAAGTCCATGCGGACCCATCCATCGAACGCCTCCATCAGGAAAAAGCTCTCCTGAGAATTATGGCGTATTCTCGACAATACATAGAACCCACATCATACTCCGCTATTCTGACATTATTCGCAGCATCGTCCACTACTGTACACACCATCTGTGCATATGTTCGTAATGCAGGCAATATTAGCACATGCCACTAAGTTCTCGCTACGAGCTATAAATACTCATGCGGTGCGAGAAGCCATGTAATCGCCAGAATTCGTTGCTCAGGCATTGGATACAAGAGCATTGACGTGTATACAATGTACTCGTAGACCCTTCGTAACAAGATATATTGCATAGTAATCTAAGCTACACCTTGGGTAGGACGTACTTCTCGTGCAGCCTGAAAGTTGTCATCACCAACCCTGACTGCTGAAAGCGCGGTATGCGCTGAGGTTTCCGCCGTCCACGGTTTACGAGCGAATCCGAGTCGTCCGGCACAGGCAATGGTCACCGTTACGAAGGCTCGCGCGAGCGGGCCGGGCCGTTCCAAGAGAAAAACCCGGCAATGATGAGTGAGGCGATCGACATCATGCCGAACGCGTAGTCGCTCTCTTCAAGACTGCTCTTGAGCTATCATTCGATCGCCTTGTTAGCACAGCCTGCTACTCGTGGGAGTAAGAGGACGCGTACATTCATGCTCATCGTCATGCTGCGTGTACGCATGGGTACGTTCGTCTCGTGTTGCATTGCTGGCTGTCAATCCATCCTCGTGTTGAACGCGGGCGCGGCTGTAGTGGTCTTCGTCACAGTGCGCACTGCCGGTCGCCGTGCGTGTCGCATGCATGGGCAGCTTGAGTGCTTGACTGCCGGTCCGCTCTGCACTTTCGAACGTGTTTGAAATGCGGTGTGGTGAGGGGTGAGCAAACATGCTATCGACAATCATACCTGTAGTGCGCGTGCTCAGCCGTGTTCACCCTTTCCTGCCTCGCCTTATCCCTCGGAGAATACCCCGCGCTGCTCTTGCGGTGTCGCTGGCGGTATCTCTGGCCAGCCGGACACGGTGGGTATTGTTTTGCTCGTGTTTGAGATGTGAGCGAGCGGGCCTGTCATAGCTGGCTTGTGCTCACTTGCCTTGGTGGGCTGGTTGTTGTGCGGTGCAGTCTCGCACCGGTTCCTCGTGTGTCGCGTCGCCAGCTGCTCAGATCTCTTCGCGTTGAGCGTGAGAGCGGCGACGTCCATCTGTCATGTCAGCGAAGGTCGGGCGGTAGCAACACTGCGAGGCGCACGGTAACATTGCGCTGCCTCGTCATCAACTCGGTAGGGGGCTGTACGTGTCGAGTGACTGTCCGGGCGAAGACATAAGCAGAGGATCGGCAGGCAGAAGGGCAAGACCGTAGCGCGATGCTTGAGCTTGACTCGGCCAGGTCATTCAGCGCGAACGTACCTTCAGGTTCGAGTACTACGCCCGAGTCTTTTCTCCTAATCTCCTTGCTCTCATCTTTCGGTGCCTTCGCATCTCACGTCCTCATTTCCCCAGGTCCGTCGTTTTCTGCGCAGTCTTGTCGCTTGACACTGGCACGCGTGTCACGGAAGTCCTGAGTCGCACGCTCGGGTTCTGTGTCACCGAGGTCAGGATAAAAAGTGTAAAAAGTAGAGGAGAGGGCTGTCTGACAGAGAGTATCAAGAGCCAAAGAGGACGACGGAAGACAGGAGCGCGGTCTTGTTGCGGTCTTGTAGTCGTTTGAGCGCTGTCACATCACAATCCGTAGCTGGAGGAGGACAGTTGTCTGCCCTAAATCAGATCGCGATCGGTGTCCTCTGCAGCGCCACTCAACCGACTGCCACGTCAGACTCAACCAAGACTCACCCCTGCTGTCGCTGACTGTCGAGTTCACATCCGGCCCCTGTCCCGCCCGTTTACTCAACCGCCCACCTGCGTCCTCCACTGTACCTGCCAGAACAAGCTATGAGATAACAATCACGCCGACATGGACGACCTACGTAACCCTGTGGACAACCGTCGAGACCCGTTTGTCGGAGCACAAGCATAGTCTGGGTAGAGTGCCTTTGCTTGCCGGCCAATCTGCACATCCCACTCGAATACCCGCGTATCTGTCCGCGCATTTGGCTTGCCCGCCCTCTCGCACACACACACGCCCGTCCTCTCGTGTTCACATGCCCTCTTGTGCGTGCCCGCTCGTTCGTGCCGGCACATCCTCATCTTCTTTGTTAGCTCATTCACCTGCTTGCTCACACACTCACGCGCTGCTCGCAGGTATGTCTTTGCCACCCACCGTATCACGGCAACGTCGTCTCACGCTCTGCTCGCAGCACAGCGCGTCTGGATCGGTGCCCACCGTTTTTTCCTTGCGCAGGACGACCCGCTCAGCCATGCTGCAGCGCAGCCATTTCGCCGCAGACAGCCCAGCTGGTGCCCCCCTTTCTCCGTTCAGTCGCGTGCTGGGCGGGCGGCGCCAGTGCTCGCGACGATTCCGAACATCGACGTCAACTCGCCTGGAGGAGTACGCGCCACCCGCTGCGTCCACCGTGACTCTCGTCCACTGTGTGTGCGTTGTCCTTCACGCGCTACAGCCCCGCTAAGCCACACAGTCAGCGGCGCCAGCGTTCTAAGCGCTTTCGCCCTCGCGGCCTGGGGCAGGATCGCGCCCTTCGCGTCCGCATCGCGCCGGAACTCCGGCTCGAGCTCGCCCTCCGTGGTGAGCATCCACCCGCCGATGAGCCAGCACCATGGGCCCATGAAGCCAAGCCAGAAGAGGACGCACGCGCTCGTCGCCGCCAGCCTCTCCGGAAGACACGACCGGCTGCGCCTCCGCGAAGACGCGCGGGGGATGTGGAATTCGTAGTTCCCGCTCCCGAAGGAGATGCCCCTCAGCCAGCGGTTGTGGATGTAGGCGTCGGAGCCGCTGGAGGAGACCGAGTGTGCGCCGCCACTCGTGCCGAGCTCAACCCCACGTCGTTGCTCCTCCCCGTTGAGTCCCATGCACCATCCCTCAACGTGTCGCAGTGGCCCCGCCGCTGCCTGCGTACAACTGCGCCGAGCCCCTGCTTCTCCCCGCCGAGTCCGCCGTGTTCCTGGCCCAAGGCCCTGTCCCACCACCACTTCCGGTCGCGCCTCCGGAGGCCCGCCTCACTGGAGCACATCTCGTCTGGAGGGAGGCATAGGCAGAGATACTGTAGATTTAAATTCAAAGCGGCGCGGGGTGTGACGTGTGACGGCCCCGCGACACTCAGGCGGCGCGGCGCGAGCGTCGGTGACCTGTGACACAAGCCTCTTGGGCGGCGGGGCGGCGGGATTTTGGTCTACCGGCGCCGCAGGCGGCGAAAATTCGTGACGTCGGAGGTTTGTCACATCCGGCGGGCTCGACTGTGACCAGTGACAACGCAGCGTCGCCGGCGTGGCGACAGGGCCTGTGACGCGTGACCGCCGCTTTGTATTTAAATCTACAGTAGTCGGAGTGTACCGTACTACAGTAGCTGCTGCTTGATGTCATTAGTGACACATTACAATTGACTTGTTCCTGTGAATCGAATGTGATCACCTCGTACGATGGACCATTCAGTACATGAATCAGAAGAATGGTCAGATTAAGGACGGAATGCGATCAGAATGAAGCATAAGCTGCATAACACACTGGTCATGTTGCATAATGCCATATATTATCGAGCCATTCACAGACGAAAGAGAGGGGACTAGCTAACAAAACCTATTACTGAGAACTGAGATAACATATACAATTACCTAGATTTCTCCATAATACTGAGTCATTCATGGTCATTCTCGGGAGGGCTTTTTCCTGATGTCCGCGCAGCCTCTCTCGTCAAATCCCCAACAAGCGTGTCAACGCCGAGCCCCTCTCCTCTGGCGCCGCTAACCCTTGGGTCTCCCCGAGAGCCGTCTCGCCGACGGACCGTACGGGCATCTCTTACGCGGGCATGGTGTCCCGTCCTCCGACGCCTCAAGCCCTTCTCGCTCTGAAAAAGGCGACCGCGCTGGCCACCACGCCCACGCAGCACAGCGCGGCGGCCAAAGACGCGGCCCCGGGCGCCGCAGCGCCAGGACCTGCGCACGAGACGATTGACGTTGACGCGATGACGACGACCGTCACCGCTATAAAAGGTGTGCATAACACTCTCCGCCTCCACCCCCATCCCAAGTAACACACTTAACATGCGCTCCTCCAGAAGAGGAGAACCCAGAGCTTGATGCACTAGCCCTCAGACGCGCTCGCACGGGCAAGCAGGCGGCGGCGACGAAACTCAAAATAAGAAGGCCCGCTCCAAGAAGAATGCGAAAGCTGCTGGGAAGATGCCCACGACGGTCGGCAAAGGCATACCGGCCACGTCGTCCTCCGCCGTTGACACAAGCGCCCCCCCGGCGAACCTACCTCAACGCTCTGCCAGCGAGTCACGGAAGAGACGTCGCGCCTCAGCTGACGTCGACGGAGAGAACGTGACAACCGGTACAGTTCTTCGCACCCAAGACGTGTCTGCGGCGACCAGCCCTCCGCGGCAGGTCGAATATGTCGTCGACATTGGAGAAGTCCTTGGCTTCCCGCGTCTCGACTGGTCCCCCGCTCCCGACGACAATCAGGTCGATCCACCCGCTACCACCACGTCAGACCTCGAGGAGCGGGATTTCGAGATGTTCGATCCTGTCACGGGGCAGGAAGATAGAGCTGAAGTGGTACGAGTTCGCGTCCCTAATGTATAATGCTCTGCCTCACACCAACCAACCAATAGCCCTACGAAGACCGTGAAGGCGCCGCTCGCACCCGGCGGCTCTCGATAACATGCGCTTCACCCGACACCCGGTGGCGAATGATCCCATGCTCGGATACGGGTACCCGCAGTCCAGCGAAGGCCTACGGGAGGGCAACATTGAAGGTACGAACTGTACCGATACAGCTAGGCGACCCCACCTAACCAACAGGCCACTACGCAGACCTGTACGCAAGCGACGACGAGCCCATGCATCACACGACCCGAACGCGGACGGAGCCACCCCGTGCTCTGAACCCCGGGGCTCCCTCCTCTCAGTCTCGCGGAACAGGCAACGCCCCTGATGCCGACCAAAGTTTCAGTGCGTACGCGTGCCTTAGGCAAGGAGATATCAACTCACCGCTCGCGTATGCCCTAGGCCGCCGTATGCATGACATTGAACGGGCCAGCAGATCGTCGCACTCAGCTCCCCACCGTCCCTCGTATCTCTCACCGGCCCCGGCACAGGCTACGCGCGCGCAGACTCCGGCGAACGACATACACCGAGGCCCCCGCAGGCCGCGCTCACCCTCGCTGCTGCACCCTTACCCAGTCCACTATGCCCCGGGACCCTTTCCCAACTTCCCTGTTGACCTCGCGCCACCGGCACCGATCGCCCAGGACGCACCCGCCGGGCCAGCCGGTCCCATCGCGCCGTTGGCACCTGCTCCAGGCGCTCCTCCGCCGCTGACCACGACACGTGCGCCCGAGAACGGATGGCCGCGAATACAGGGAGTCGGTTTTGACCTCGTCTACGCGAACGTTCTTGCATCCCAGGCTGACGAATGGCGGAGAGCTCGGGACTACCACGTCTACATCCACTTTCCCGGCCGTGGCGCACACGATAGAGGTAACTTCGGACGTCTCTGCGCTGTCGACACCGTCCTACGCGCCTCTCTGGGAGTCCCGACCGCTTCTATCACCCAGCCTATCGCCGCTGTCCCCCTACGAGCCCGAACTCAAACCCCATCTACTACCGCGTCGGGAATCTGACCGTCGGTCAGCGCGACCGCCTTCTGCGCGAAGGCTGGGTCTCGTCTAGAGACGGTACTTTCGGTGTCGTCTCCTCCGAGCCATCCCCGCCGACATTCATGGGAACGTTCCGACACCCCCTACGACTTGGAGAAACGTCGGAGGAAGGCATGGCAAACGCTTTCAAGAAGGGTATGCGGAGCGAAGAGATGCGTCAATACCTCCTCACGACCCTGAACAGCGACATCTTTGCGGGCGGACGGTGGCGACGCCTTACGGCGCAGGACGCGTACGAGCTAATCATCAGCTCTATCACGGTCAAGAAGATCCTGCTGCGCAACACTCGTGACGAAGAGGAGGAACCATTTGCTTTCCTCTACATGGAGTCTCCTACGTCTGACCCTATCGAATGGCTGAACTTCCGAAACCGAGTTCGTACGTTCACTTTCGGCGGCCTACTCGCAGGCCCCCCTGAGCTGGTCACGCGCTCTTTCTACTGTATGTATTGTCACTCCGTTGACCACCCCACTCACGCCTGCACCATCCCGTCTACTCCCGGCTGGCACGGACCGTCTCTCGATGACGTCCGCGAAATGCTCGCAGCCGACAGACGCGCGCAGGGCCAGGACCAACGCGGCGGAGGCAGAGGTGGTAGAGGCGGCCGTGGCAGTCGAGGAGGCCGTGGACGCGGTAACGGACGGGGAAACCGCGGTGTCGCTGCAAACGAACAGCAGAGAACGGGGCACGCCTAGACACGCGAGTACATGCCATATACGCATCTTGCCTTCCCCGAACCTGTATCACCGACCTGTATATTTATGCCGTCTCTGGCCTGACTATAAAATGACGTTCTCGCTGCTATAGCTTTCGCAGCTTACTGAGTTAAAGTAAGAACACGTGAAAGCTCTTTCATCCAAGAGAGAGAACGCGCAGATGGCCCAGGCCCAAATTTACTGACCGACTTCGGGACAGGAAAGCTCGGATACCGTCTGCTGCGTCATGATTCCGGAACCCCCAGGGGTACTAGTAAACTTACCCTGGCCGAGAGGCCTAGCTGCCCAGCAGCGTGTTTCCTGAGGAAGCCAGGAGAGCTTCCCGCCCCCGGTGGATCGTTGTAGCCGGGACGCGTACATCAACGGCGAATACACATACATTTAACATACCTACGGTAGGACTTACGGCAAATGGCACCCCTCTTCTCCGTCCGAGAGAGGCTAGCTTGTCTCCCGCCCATGCTGGCCCCCATGACCGGGCAGAGGAACTCGGTGACGGGACCGCCCTCTGTAATGAACGGTCGCAAAGCAGCGACAACCAGGGGAACGCGGAGGGCTGCGTATCTATACCCCTGTCCAGGATGAAAGCCGTCTGGCGCATCCTCAGACCACCAACAGAATCACCCCATCCGGGAGGAAGACGAAGGCCAGCCTGAATATTGGCAGCCTTAACATAAATGGTAGGAGCTCCCTACAAGGTCCCAAGGACCAGAAGTGGAACGCGATTAACCAGCTCCTTCGCGAAGAGAAGCTGGGCGTCCTATGCCTCCAAGAGACCCACCTCGACGCCTCGCACGTCGACACCGTACACAAACTGTACGGCAGACGGATATGTATATGGAACTCAGGCTCGCCGTCTGCGACATCAGCCCAAGGGGTAGCAATTGTGCTGAATCGGGAGTTGGTAGACGTCTCGAATGTTGTATACAGGGAGATAATCCCCGGCCGCGCTATTCTCCTTACGATGCACTGGCATGCTGAAAAATTCATCACGATCCTTAACGTGTATGCACCCAATGCACAGAGTGAAAACGCGGCCTTTTGGACCCGGCTCCACAGCCTGGCCGAGCGAGGCCGTTACAAGAAGCCCGACATACTGGTCGGCGATTTCAATATTGTTGAAGAAGCCCTGGATAGACTACCTGCGAAAGAAGACGCCACCCCGGCAGTGGCTGCCCTACGAGACCTTGTCCGTTTTTTCGATCTCTACGATGGCTGGAGAGTATCGGAGCCCCACACCAAGAACTACACATACCCCCAGAGAGGCAGCCTCTCGCGGTCTAGGCTCGACCGTATATACACATCGGAGTCCTTAATCCGGACGTCCCATACCTGGGACATTAAGACCACCGGGGTCCCTACCGATCATAGATTGGTCTGTGCAAAACTCAACACAGCAAATACTCCCTTCCTTGGGAAAGGCAGATGGTCGATGCCAATCCACCTCATGGAGGATAACGATTTTATTAACGAAGCCAGGGAATTGGGCAAGAAGACTATGGGTGAAATGAAGATGACCAACGTTGAAGATGGCGACATTGACCGCCCAGCCATCCAGCGACTACACAAACACTTTAAGGACAGTGTATGCACACTGGCCCGAAACCGACTGAAACAGAAGCGCCCTCGTCTGCGAGCCGAAATTGAACGTTTGCTTGACCACCTAAAGGAGATAGAAAGCCATCCTGCTTTCCCGGAATCGACTGCACTACAGAACGACGCGGCAGTCCTGCACAATAGAGTGTATGAGCTCGAGAAAAAGCGACACACACTTATGAAGCTTACCACCACGGCCCGCTATGTCATTAACGCCGAGCGAGTGTCGAAGTACTGGTCGGCGGTAAACAGAGAGAAAAAACCGAGGGACGTTATTTACAGCCTGCGCGTCCCAGGAACGAACCCGCCCCAATTCGAATCTAGATCTAGTAAAATGACCACCCTCGCGAGGGACTACCATGAACGAGCCCAGTGTATTGACACACCGGACTTCTCGACCGAGACTCAATTACTGGCGATTGAGCAGGTTTTAGGCCAGGTCCGCCCAACTTTGAACGAAGAGGACAGAGACGCCCTAGCGAACGGTGTCAGCAGAGAGGAAGTTAAGCGTGCACTGAACCAGTCCCAGACGGGACGAGCCCCCGGTTTGGACGGAATACCCTATGAATTCTGGAAGGCATTCACGGCAGACGCCACGGACAAAAACGGCTTCAACAGCCTGGACTATCTAACCCTCGTGTATGAGGATATTGACGCAAACGGCGCCTCCCCCGAAGCAGGTTTCACTGATGGATTGTTATGCCCTATATACAAAAAAGGGGACCGTCGAGAGATAGCCAACTATCGGCCAATAACACTGCTCAACTCGGACTACAAGATATACACCAAAGTACTCACCTCGAGACTTGGCGATGTCGCCACGAAGCTGATCCACAAGGACCAGGCTGGCTTCGTCCCAGGCCGCCATATCGAAGACCAGACACAAACCTGTAGAGTCCTTGTTGACTATGCCGAAGCAACAGAAGAGGACGGAGTGATTATTGCCTTGGACCAAGAAAAAGCCTATGATAAGATAGACCACACGTACCTCTGGAAAACCCTGGAAGCTTTCGGCCTTCCCCCTGAATTCATAGCAAAGGTCCGAAGATTGTACACGGCAGCGGGCACGAGAGTCATACTGAATGGCGAATTGAGTGACCACTTCACAGTGATACGAGGAGTGCGCCAGGGAGACCCACTCTCCTGCCTCCTCTTTGACATCGCCATAGAGCCGTTGGCGATCCTCCTACGACAGTCAGACATTAGGGGATTCCGCATCCCCGGAGCGGCAGACCGCCTAATTACGAAACTCTTTGCAGACGACACCTCCGCCTTCTTGTCCAAGCATGACAGCTGGACCGGCCTCTGGAAGATTCTAAACCACTGGTGCAGCGCATCCAGAGCAAAGTTCAATGATGGGAAAACGGAAGTTGTGCCTGTGGGCTCACCAAAATACAGACAGGCGGTAATCGACACACGAAAGATGCACCCCGATGGCGACCTGTCAGACACTATTCCCCTGAGCGTACATCTGGCCAACGAGGGCGAGCCAGTACGCATACTAGGAGCCTGGATAGGGAATAACGTGGATCAGCCCACAGTCTGGGCACCAGCGCTGATGAAAATAAGGGCTTTTCTCCGAAGATGGGGACAATGCCGACCGTCCATGATTGGACGGCGACATATCGTCCAGATGGGACCGGGCGGAATATCGCAGTACCTCGCGGTAGTGCAAGGTATGCCCAAATCGATTGAGACGGAACTTAAGAAGATAGTACGCACTTTTGTCTGGGACTCGGGAAGTGTACCACCCATAAACACCGCAACATTATGTCGACCAATACGTGAAGGAGGCCTTGGACTTCTCGACATTGAAGCGCGAAATGACGCTATTGATCTTATGTGGCTGAAACGGTATCTGAACCTGACAGAGGACAGACCGGTGTGGGCGTTTGCCATGGACGCCATAATTAACAAACATGCTAAGAGAGATACTGGTGAGATACGACCAAAGGCGCAAATCAACATGTACCTACAAAACTGGGGCCCGGCACTCAGCGCCCGATCCGGACTCCCCCTGTACATCCGGCGTATGCTCACCGCGGGGAAACGTTTTGCGGTTCACCTAGAGGCCATCAAAGTGGACATATCAGTTAAAAAACAGTTGCCGGCATGGTACCATATAGGAGCAACGAAAGCTCTGCGGCGACTAAACAATACTAGGATTAGCGACTGCCTTCGCGACCACCATGGAGTTGTAATAGTGTCTGACCTTCTGGGAGTCACGGAATCGTCCTGTGGGAGCCAGCCAACGGCGCACACCTCGCTATGGGAGGATAACAGCTGTCAGTGCCCCGAGTGCCTGGCGCTGAAAGCGCGTGGATGTAAACACCCGGCAACATGCAGGCTAGCTGCTTTCCGCATACTAAGTGAGATCACCCCGAAATGGAACCCTCTAATACACGACGCCACCGACGGCCTCACCCTAACTAGAAGGAGGAAAGACCATAATGAGGAGGCGAAGCTCGAAGATGGCGACTTACTTACCTTCGACCCATCGGTAACTGCGAGGAACGGACTGTCGGAGACCTTCAGGGTCTTCGTAGCCCCCAGCACCATGGCTGACCCGCCTGCCATCAGGCGACGCCCTGGCCGAGAAGTACCAGAAGAATCAACCACGGTCATGATTTTCCAACCTACCAGAGAGCCGCGTCCACGGAGAGAGGACACTCCGCCCTACAAGCGAACCTACGCAGTTTTTTTTGGCCCCGCTGACCCGAGGAACGCAATCATTGACCAAGTACGGGCACCTGTGACCAACATTATGGTACCGGGAGAGCTGACGGCCGCAGTATATGCCGTAGAACACACACCTCTGGACGCACCACTCTGTATCCTAAGTACGAGTCAAGTCCTGACGACTTTAGTCTTTGACAAGACCCCGACATGGGAAGAGAAAGGATGGATCGGCATCCCACTGGGCACTTTCGTGAGGCCCCTTCTGAATCGTCTCCGCCAACGGTGCGCCACCACCACTTTCGGACAGATAACGGGTGACGAAGACTGGGCGATCCTCGAACGTGCCCGCCAGGACGCATCCATGGCCCCCCACGAACTTTTAAGTTAGCACCGACCCCTTCCGGGCAACCTGACCCCAGGTTCGAGCTAACTGGCGCGAAACTAAGCTCGCTGACCCAAGCGCTTGCCTATAGAGGCATCATGGAGAGTAGGGGACGCGAGGTCAGGCGGCAGACGAGGGACAACCTCGCTGCAGTGATGACATACCATGAACGAGATAGAGAATTAACACACAGCTCTATATGGCTAAGTATACGGCATAGAGACTTCAGCCGTACCTTCGCGGTTTTCCTCACATTATTTAGTGTGTCTAACCCGTTACCAACGGTAAACCCGGAGTGAGATTCGGCCGTCTGGAACGTTGG